CGCCGATTGAGATCTACCACAGTACTCACTTTATTCCAGAGAAAAGATGTCTTCTGATGCTCGTCCGAGTTCCCCTTCGCCCTCCGGCGTCGGACGTCGTCGTTGCTCGACGTGTCGAGTCAGGCTCCAGCGCACGGACCAGCACTCCAGCTGCTTCATGTGCCTGGGCCCGGGCCATGCGGCGTTGAGCGCCACCTGCACCTCGTGTCTCGCTCTCCCCAGGGAGGAGAGCGAACGCAGGCGTGCGTACCTCGCCGCTGCAGCGCCCCGTCCGGACTCCTCTCAGGACGAGGAGTCTGAGACTGACTGGGCCCCACTCGACCTTCCACCCGTGCCCGCGGAGTGGGGTGACTGTGAGGACGGAGAGGTTTCGGAGGTCGGCTCTCTCCTCACGCTGGACGAGGTGGTGTCGAACCCGGAGCCGGACCGCTTCCCACTGGACCACATGCCTGGGCTCTACTCCTCTGCGGCGGCCATCATGGATGCCCCCCTGCCACCGCAGCCGACCCAGAGGGTGGAGGACTTCACCTCTGGTTACGCCACCACTCGAGGGAGGAGGAGGACACAGCCCACGTTGTGCCCGCGGATGGACCCGATCGTCCATTACGCGACACGTGAGTGGCCAAAGCCCCTAGCGGCCAAGAGGCCCGCTTTGGGCTACGGCATGTACTGCAGCGTGCAGGACTGGTCCTGGACCGGCGGGGTCCCGGACATCGAGGATTCGGTCCGCATGGCCCTGCACCCCTCCGCATCCGTGTGGCCCGGCACCTGACCTCTCCTTCCCTCCGAGCGGGACAGGATGTCTTTGGCTATGCACGACAGATGTTACGCCAATGCGGCACAGGTCGTCGCTGTGGCGAATAACATGGCCTTCATCACGGGGGCCCTGGATAGGTCGCTCTCTTCTGGCCAGGCGCTCAGTGGAGACACCTTATCTCAGGCGAGGACCACTTTAGCGGCAATCCTGCGCATGTGCCAGGCGCTAGCTGTCGATGGCGGCCGCTCCATGGCAGCAGCTCAAGTCGGGGCCAGGCACCTTTGGCTTGGGCTTGCTAACATCAGAGAGGCGGAGAAGAGGCAGCTGCTGGACCTGCCTGTTTCTCAGACGTCCCTTTTCGGTCCGGACATGCAGACCCTGGTGGCTAGACTGGAGACCGCAGCCAAGGACTCGGCTAGCCTAGCCCAGCACCTAGCGCCGAGGCGCGAGGCCCGCCCACCAGCGCGGAGCCGGGACAGAGGCAGGGAGCGTTCGCCCGGGAGGCGCCCTGACCCATATCTACGCTTCGTGGCCTATCGTCCCCCCTCGACGAGGCCCCCGGGTCCAGACAGACCCATGGGGAGGCTCGCGGGACCAACGCACCCACCGCCGACCTCCCTATGGCAGAGGAGGTCGGGGTGGGAAGAATTCTTTCAATAAAGGCCGACCGGCATTTCATCATTACTCGCTGTCTGAGTCTCATTTGGGGGTATGTAACATGTCAAATAATCTTGTGAATTCTGATTGTGTTACTTCTCGAGCACATAACGTTGCTTCGCTAGGCCTGCAGCCCCCAGAGCAGGGTGTGCAGTGCGCTACGCGAGCTACGAGCTCCGGTTCACTGGTTCAGGCTATGCCCTCCCAGAGAGAGGTCAGGCGGAGGGATCTGGTGAGTAGTGGTGTGTGTGCTTCGGCCGAACGCGTGTTAGCATCTCTGAGCTACAAGGCTAACACGGGGTTTCCCACTCCAGGGGCTCGCCCCCCCTCCATGAGGCAAGAGCCAGGGGGGGGCACAGCAGCCGAGTCACGTGTGATGAGCAGTCCCGTACTTATGACGTCGGGCCTGCAGGACACGTGACCGCCCCCGGCGCTCACGGTGTGATGCAGGGGGCCCCCCGGCCCTTTCGGCCACCCCCCCCTCCCCGTTCCGCCCCTCACAGACTTCTACGACATCTGGAGGGAGCAGGGTTTGCTGACAGATATATGGCTGGAGAAAACATTGCGCAGGGGTTACGCACTGCAATTCTTCCGAAAGCCACCACCATTCCGAGGCGTGCGGGCAGTACGCTCTCAGGTACGGGGATCATTAGAGGCACTGCAAGCGGAGGTCTCCTCTCTGCTGAGTCGAGGCGCGGCAGTAGAGGTAGACCCGCAGGACGCCACCAGGGGGCTGTACTCCCCTTACTTCTTAGTGCCAAAGAAGTCAGGTGGGGTGCGTCCCATTCTGGATCTGCGCGTGTTGAACGAGTGCATTTCCAAACGGCAGTTTCGGATGCTGTCCACAAAGCAGCTCCTCGAGTGTGTCAGGCAGGGAGATTGGATGTCCTCCATAGACCTGACAGATGCGTACTTCCACGTGCCCATAGTGGTGGAACACAGGAGGTTTCTGCGCCGCTTCGCGGTGGGAGAGAGGAATTACGAGTACTGCCGTCTCCCCTTCGGCTACGCACTCGCGCCTCAAACTTTTTCCAAATGCGTGGAGGCAACACTGGAGCCGCTCAGACGCGCAGGGGTAAGAATTTTAACCTACATAGACGACTGGTTAATTCTGGCCTCATCCAGGGAAGTGGCCGTGAGCCACACGCACTGGGTCCTGTCCCACATACAGCGTCTGGGCTTTGTGGTGAACAGGGAGAAGAGCAAGCTGCAGCCAGCTCAACGCATGATTTATCTCGGTCTGCAGTTAGACTCTGTGACATTCCGTGCATCATTGTCCGTGGACAGACGGATGAACATTTCCCGTCTGGCCCGGGAGGTTCTAGCGGGCCCCAGAGTCCCCGCTCGGCGCCTCAGGTCCCTGCTGGGAATGATGACGGCGGCTCATGCTGTGGTGCGGCTAGGCCTTCTCCACATGAGGAATTTTCAGAGGTGGTTCTCGCGCCTCAGGCTTCACCCCTCCCGGGACGGGGGGAGGCTGATCTGGGTTCCCCAAGTGGCAGCATCGGACATCAGGTTCTGGCTCACTCCGGGTCTATTGCGGGACGGAGTGACTCTGGCCTGCGCCGTGTCTCACGTGTAGGTGTTCACGGACGCGTCGCTCGAAGGATGGGGCGGGGTCCTCGGCCAGAGCTCTGTAGGAGGCTGCTGGTCGGACTCAGTCCGTCACATCAACCTGCTGGAGATGGAGGCAGTGCACAGGGTACTGCTGCACTTTGCTCCTCAGCTGCAGGGGAGACACGTGTTGGTGCGCTCGGACAACACCGCAGTGGTCTCCTATCTGAACAGGCAGGGGGGCACCAGGTCCCCCGCTCTCCATCGCATGGCGACGGTGACGCTGCTGTGGGCGGCGCTTCACCTCCTGTCTCTCAGGGCGCGCCACGTCCCGGGGGTCCGGAACGTGGGGGCCGACAGGATGTCCAGGGGGGGCCCACTCCAGGACGAGTGGGGCCTGGCCCCACGGGTAGCTGCGGATATCTGGCGGAGGTTCGGCCGTCCAGTGGTCGACCTTTTCGCCAGTGCAGAAAACGCACAGTGCCCGTCCTGGTTCGCCGGGCCGCGGACGAGCCGCCCTTAGGCGTGGACGCTCTGGCTCATTACCCCTGGCCAGGGGGCCTGCTGTACGCTTTCCCACCAGTGCGTCTCTTGCCGGTCCTGCTGCGGAGGATCGAACAGGAGAGGAGGTTGGTGATCCTGGTGACTCCGGACAGTCCGCATGCCCGGTGGTTCCCCTTCCTGAGGGGCATGGCGGTGATGGAGCCCTGGGCCCTCCCGGACGAGCCGGGGGCTCTAGTCCAGGGGGGAGGAGCCCTGTTTTCACGCCCGATAATCGGCCGCAGGCTCTGGGTTTGGAGGCTGAGAGGCGGAACCTCATAGACCTGGGTCTTCCCCCTGCGGTGGTGGAGACCATTTAGGGGGCGAGGGCGCCGTCCACTGTGAGGGCCTACGCCACGAGGTGGAGGCTCTTCAGCGTCTGGTGCGGTTCCCGTTCCTGGGATCCCAGGCGTTGCCCGCTGGAGGGGGGTCCTGGGATTCCTACAGGAGCTCTTTGACAAGGGGAGGGCTGTCGCCACCTTGGCGGTGTTCGCGGCAGCCATTACTTCGGGTCACGACGGATTCGGGGGGTTCACAGCCCGCTCTCATCCGTTGGTTAAACGTTTTCTGCGGGGGGCGCGCAGGAGGAGGCCCCCGCTCCAGAGAACGCCCCCGGTTTGGGACCTCAGGGTGGTCCTTAGGGGGCTGTCGGGTCCGCCTTTTGAACCGGCGGCGGAGGCGAGTCCCGAGTGTCTCGCTTTTAAGACGGCCCTCTTGTTGGCGTTGGCGTCTGCTAAGAGGGCGGGCGACTTGTGTGCGCTCTCTGTCCATGCGTCTTGCCTGTCCTTTGGAGAGGGCGACGGCATGGTGGAATTGTGAATCATCTCTCCCCTCTGTTACCGCCTGCTAGTTGCACACTGGTGCGGGTCAGAACTACATTGGAGCTTATATTTACACACACATACATACATGTATTGCACACACACACATACATATACACACACACACAGACATATACACACATACATACATGTATTGCACACACACACATACCGGTCTGTCACGCTCAGCTGCACTTATGAAAAGTACGCGGCTCGAAATGGCTGTTATTTCAAAGAACGTGGACTATTTTAAACTACGCGGTTAACCGGTTTCAACCGGTTAATGAGGCTCGGTGGTCGGTCATGAAAATTCATAGTTTTTTACATCCCTACTTTATACTTGCCTATTATTTTTCTCTACTTATTATAATTATGTTCAAGATAGAGATGTTATACTTGTACTTCTAATAAGTATAGCTATTGTTCACTTATCTTGTACTGTGTGCTCCTCATTCCGACTGTTCTATAACTTGTGATGCAAATTTAATTTCTGAAATTCCCCCACAGTGGGATGGATGAAGGATCTCTTAATCTTTATCTTAATCTCCCACACTTCCAGGAGCATTTACATCTGTGCTACTGAACTATTCCATCAATGACAGAACATATAGAGGTTCAAACAGGTTAAAAAAGTTGCTGCCTTTGCGCTTGCACCAACTCCTATCACAGAGATGATTGGATGGTGACATTGATCAGTTGAATAAAGACATGTCCATCCATATATCTCTAATCTTAGATCTTATTCTCTATCTTATTCAGTCTTTGTAATCCATGTTTGCAGGTGGTTTCACCCAAACATCACCGGACTGGAGGCTGAGCAGCTTCTGTTGACTCGGGGCGTCCACGGCAGTTTCCTGGCCCGGCCGAGTAAGAGCAACCCAGGAGACTTCACCCTCTCTGTCAGGTGGGTCCCTCAGCATCTTCATCATCATCATCATGTTCTGTACAGGTTTGACGTTATTGCTGCATTCTTATCCCTTTTCTGGATGTTCTGGTCGGTCCTTTGCAACTAAAGCTTTTTCAGTTAACTATTTACTCCTGATTATGTAGCCAAACTTCCCATATTTGAGAAAATAATGAATCACAATTTTGTTTCCCATATTGACCTATCTCAAATTCCGATCACATTTTTTTATTAAATACAGTAACTGGTATAACATGGATTAAGTATTTTTTCATCAAAATGAGTGTATGTACTCCTCTTCAGCCCCTCTCCCTGTTACTGTCACATGATTGGTGTCTTTTTGTTTTCATTTCAAGCATCAATTTGCAACAAAACATTATTTTCTTTTTTTGGCATCACTTTTGGCAATGACTTTCACAATTCAATTCAATTTATTCTTGTATAGCCCTAAATCTCAACACTAGTTATCTCGGAGGACATTCCAAACTCGTTTGCCAACACACATCAGAGAATCATACACAAGAAATCAAAAATAAATCACATTGGTATTGGTCCAACATAACATTCTTATTCATTTTAACTAATAATGTATATATGAATACAACTGTAAGAATCTGTGCCCTCTTCACAAAGTGTATCATTCCCAGTCTAGCAGATGTACAGTATATATGACCTTTCTCCAACAGCCAGACCTCAATGGAAGCTTCTATACTTTATTTTTTTCTCCTCAAAAGTCATTCTCTGGACTTATGCCATGCTTTTTAATGTTATGAAATGTTTGGCCAGGTCTGGACTTGGACTTGGACCTGTGGTTTGTGTGGTGAGTGTTGTAAATCACTCTCTCGGCACGAAGTGCCCGGCACGAAGGAGGGCAAAGGGCAGACGGATCAGCCTCTTTAGAAAACTCTGACAGAGAGAATGTGGACGGACTCATGTGAAGAACAAGCTCTCCTTCTGTGAGACCAAAAAAATACAGATGTGAAGAGACATAATACAGACAATCAGCTTTTCATTTGGATTAAAAGATGGTTTATTTGTCCACAGTCTCAGTGGGGGAATTCCATCACCAGTTTCAGAACAGTGGGAATCAGGAGCGCACAATATGAAAGAACAACTTTCTAAAATAAAATTAAATAAAATCTCAAAATTGAGCATAGTAAAGAAGCAAGTATAAAATGTCTAGCTTTAGCATTATGCTGAAGCAAGTATAGAATATCTAACTTTATCATGATAAAGAACCTAGGATAAAATCTCTAACTTTAGCATAATAAGTAAGCTAGTGTTTCAGGATCGATTTTAAGGTTCTTTTAATGGTTTTTAAATGTCTTAATGGTCTAGGTTCTTCTTTTCTTTCAGATTTGCTTTTATCCTATGAACCTTCCCGGCCCCTGCGCTCCTCCGGCAGCAGACTCCTAACCATCCCCAAAGTCAGGACACTCACGGCGAGGCATCTTTCCAGCACTACGGCCCCCGTCCCTGGAACAGTCTGCCGGAGGAGCTCAGGGCCGCAGAGAACATTCATATTTTTAAAAGTAGGCTCAAGACACACTTTTGTAGATTAGCTTTTGATTAGTTTTTATTATTCCATTCTATTTATCTTTTATTATTTATTATTTATTATATTGCTATTGCTATTATTCATGTATTGTGTGTTCCTTTTAGTCTCACATTTTAGTGTTTTACTTATTGTATTGTTTTTAGTGTGTTCCTCCAGAGGAAACACACTGGGTGTGTTTCCTCTGGAGGAGCCCTCTGCACTGGGAGCAGTGGTCGGTGTGGCTGTGGGGGTCGGACTCTTGGGCCTGGTGGGGGCCTGGGGCCTCGGTTTCATGTCTCCTCTGGGTCCTGTGTCGTCCCCTGTGGCTACGGGCGGCTCTCTGCTCCTGGTGCAGACGGCTCCTTGGATGACGCTTTTTCAGCTGGTTGCATCTGAACCCTGCCAAGTCTCTCATCATGGTTTTATTGTTTTACTGGTGTGTGTGTGTGTGTGTGTGTGTGTCAGAGAGTGTGCATGAGCGCGTGTGTGTGTTTGTCTGTGGTTTGGGGTGGGTCTGTTGGGTGGTCTGGGGGAGGGGTCTTGGGTCGGCGGGATTGTTTTTAACCAAACTATAAAGCACTTTGTGTTGCATCTTTTGTATGAAAAGCGCTTTATAAATAAAATTTGATTGATTGATTGATAGTATACAATTTCTAACATTAGAATAATAAATAAGCAAGTTTGGCAAGTTCTATAGTTTTGGCAAAATAAGGAAAATTCATTTCAAATCATTTCATATCATTTCCTGGGTTTTAGTCACGACCATACTTTTTTATTTTCCATCCATCCATCCATTTTCTACCCCTTTATCCATTTCTGGGTCGAGGCAGACAGTGATGCCACCCAAGTCACAGAGCACCAACTCCTACCATACTTTTTTTTTTTTTTTTTTTAAAGAATGTAATTATTATTTTAGTGGCCTATATGAATCACAAATTAGTGCACTATACAACAAGGTGGGAAATATTCAGTTCACAATAGCACACACATTAAAGCTGGAAGAGAACATTATAGACCTGCCTTAACTTATTTGAAATATTTTATCTTTTGCTCTGTGAGTCACTGTTCGATGCTTTGAGATGAGAGCGTGTTGGCTGAGCGGGGGTTGTCATCTCGATATCACTTTTCAGTCAGGAAAGGCTGAGATAAAAATGTATCAGATAGCCAAAAATACGTGTATGTGAAACTGTGTTGAGAACGAGGAACTACTAAGATAGACTTTATTACATGGTTTTATATTTTGTGGCTTGAACGGTAGGTCCCCAGCATAAAAAAACCCAGAATATACACATTTACATTTCATTGTGCACAATTATTGCCCAAACCACAATATTTATAGGGACGTAAGGCAAAAATCCCACCCTCCACCAGGAAGGTTGCAAATAGTGCACCGGGAACTCCCAATTTGACATGGGGATTGTGAGTTGAGGCCCAGCTCACAATTTCAGGAAGACTCGTACTGATTTGTGCACACACATTTCTAAAACTTGCATTACATTACACATGTACATTAAGGATTTCAACAAATGAAAGAAATGCAGATCTCTGGAACAAATATTGTCTCCACATTAACAGAGAGCATAATGTCCATTCCCTTGTTGGCATTAAGCCCAGAAATCAAACCACCAACGTTAATATGCTATTCTGAGCCTTTATATAACATATTGCCACCATAATTATCTCTTCCTACACATAGTTACCCAAATGGCATTAGTGGGTGAGCCTGAGTTTGTCAAATGTACAGCCTAGTCCCTCTAACACAAAAGTAGCAGCAGATGACAGGGATAAAATACTATTCACATTTAAAGGAACTCACAGGAGATGTCATTCTAATCTCTGTAAAAATGGAGGTGGTTGAAAAGGTTTGGTGACAAATCAAGTCATATTGTAATAAATGGCTGATAATTGCTTTTGGATTTTGCCATATCTTTCTTTCTGAGGGTATTCATACTTGAGCTTATCATGCCAATAAGTCATTGTGCACGGCTGCAAAGGGATACGCACATGTTCGGGCTTATCGGAGCAGAGGATGTTAATTACGCCAGTCATTAGCCAGGTTTCATCTTACTGAGGCCGTAATGGGAGCTATCAGCTGCGAGGAGCTAATGCATAGAGAGGCTGTAGGCTGCCACTTTATGTCTTATCTCCTTCTCCCTGGCATGGCTCCAGCCGGACAGCTTTGTCGGCCTTCTTCTTCTGCTCAGACTATTCAGAAAGTATTGGGTCTAACTTTGACTCAACTTTAAAAACTAAAGAGGGAAAACCTTATGAAAGGCTATGGGACGCAGTCATAATTTCAATTTGACATGAGGCTAAAAGGAAATCACAAATACTGCAGTTCTGACTAAATACTAAACTTAAAGTTGGAGTACCTAACTTTTTGCGTCATCAAAATATTTTTCCACAGAAAGAACCCACTAAACTTTGGGCTGAGAGTTGATTGGCTGCGCAAGGGCTGTTCTAAACATGTACTGTAAATGCCGAGACCAAAAGATGTGAAAATGAGTGATAGAATCAACTGTTTTGAGAGCCAGTTATAGACTTTAAAAGTATATAGAAGGATTATCTTCTCCTGGGTGGAGCGTCTAGACCAGTGGGGGCGGGTCCCGGCTCAAAAGTGGCCAAAATAACGTGCGCTGACATGCTGCAATTCCACCCCGGGCCGATGGGGGTGGACCCAGAAGAAGAATTAGCCAATGCTAACATATAGCGTTGGCAGACCTCTCAAAAACGTCTTTACAGGATAGCCCAAAAGTTGGCTCTTGGCCCAAAGCTCCGTTCCACATGTGTGTCAATGCTGAGGGGGGGTGAATTTTTTTGGACCACTCTAGTTTACTTGTTGTGAATTTTTGAAGTCTCTCGTTCAAATGAACGAGAACGAGTTCAAATGGGGCGACAGTAGCTCAGTTGGTAGAGCATTGGCCTTTGAGCCTGAGGGTCGTGGGTTTGAGCCCACCGTAAGACCTACTTCACGACTCCCACTGATGACTGCTGTTGTTGTGTCCTTGGGCAAGACACTTAACCCCACTTTGCCTGAAGCTCCCACTGAAAGATCTCAGCTCCTGTGGACTCACCACCTGCAGGAGGATCAGTGAGGGGCTGGTGCTCTGTTACTGGGTGGCATCTCTGGCCACCCTCCCGACCCAGAAATGGATTAAGGGGAAGAAAATGGATGGATGGATCGTTCAAATGAATGGAGCTGCGCCGGCTGACGCATGCGCAGATGCGTTTTTTCACAATTTTCTTGTGGGCGGGACCACTCGCAGCCATTTTGGATTGCTCCAGTTGGGCACTATAATTGGCCCATTAGTTAGAACGGCGGAGATAGGCTTGACTCTGTCCATTTTTACAGTCTATAGTCTAAACCAGGGGTGCCCAAAGTGGGGCCCGCGGGCCAAAGTTGGCCCGCCGGACCATTTCAGTTGGCCCGCCTAACATTGCCCACCTCCTCTGTAAGTTTCTA